TTCCCAATTTTTAAATTAAAAAAAATATATATATACACTTTCTTAGATTTCTTTTTATGATTTGGTTTCATCAACTTGGTTACCACTACTACTGTTGATTTATTCTCTCTTTCAAAGTTCAATCTTGCTTCATTTGTCAGCTTCTTGAAAAATTCTCATTTAAACACCAAACAAAGTATTAATTTTGTCTGCAAAATTTGATTCCTTTTCTTGTTACCAAAAAAAAAGTTCTCCCCTGTTTGGTCTCTGTTCTTGAACCTCCATTGCTGTCTCAGTATTTCCTTTAAAAAAAACCATCTCTTGTTTTCAATAAAGTTTCAATCTTCTTTCCCTTTGATTTACCCAAACAAAACCAATCAATCTGTTTTTTTTTCTCTCTGGGTTTTCTTGTACTGAAATCTTCAAAAGAAAGTATAGAGTTTCACCTTTTTCTCTTCTTTTTCAAAATAGCTACCAATAACAATTAAAATCCCATAGCCAAAAACCTTGCCTTTTCTTTGTTCTATTCCCAAGCAATCTCCTTTTACCTCAAGCTTCATCCCCTTTTATTCTCCTTTCAAAGCTTTCAATTTGTTTTTTTTTCATCAGAAGACTAAAGAAAAAGTATGGGAAATTCTTGGTTTTTAGGAGTACTAATTCCAATATTCCTTTGCCTTCTTTTCTTTGGTGGTTTTGTTAATGGTCTGGGTGTGAATTGGGGCACCATGGCATCACATAGACTGCCGCCCAAGACGGTGGTTCAGATGTTAAAGGACAATGGAATAAAGAAAGTTAAGCTGTTTGATGCAGATTCAACCACCATGAATGCTCTTGCTGGGAGTGATATTGAAGTGATGGTTGCTATTCCTAATGATCAACTCCTTGCTATGAACAGCTATAATAGGGCTAAAGAATGGGTCAGGAGGAATATCACAAGATATAATTTCAATGGAGGTGTTAACATTAAGTAAGTTCAAGTTTTAACTTCTTTATTTAAAAAAATTATGGCTGCTAACTTGAGTTGATGGTGTTGGGTTTTTGAGGTTTTGATTGGAATTGTTGGAGTTTTTTTTATTGAGGATTTTGATAAATTGAATGATTATTGTGGAAATTTTTGGAGGTGGAATTAAGAAATTTTGGTTCTAAATCCAAAGTTTTGGCATTGAATATGCTTGCTTATGTAGGTATGAAACCATCTTGTTATAGGTGTGGTGCTGCATATATATATATATATATATATATATATATATATATATATATCTATCCTTACTTAAGGATCTAGTACAGTAGACCAACGGAGTTCCATATATTATTGAAAGTTTTTATGCTTCTTGAATCTTGATAAGAGGGATAGCTTCTATTTCGGTTAAAACACTAATCACTATGTATTTGGTGTACCCAAATAAGCCATTATTCTTTTATTGATATCCAGATAAGCCAGTTTTCAAATGAAAGTGATTTTATTCAAGTAAAAAAAAATTAAAGGTTAAGGGTTTGCTTGAATGAAAAGTAAAGCTTAATGGTCATAAAAGTATAGGAAATTACCCTCTATTTTCTTTGAAAGTTTAGCTTGGGACCATTATTAGGAAAATTAATTAGTTTTTTTTTAGCAGGTAGAGGGATTAGTTTATTAGTTGACCTAATTCTTGAATCTTGATGACAATTCTTTTTCTTTGCATGATCATATGCATTCAATGATCTTGTTTGACTTGTCTTCCCTTAGCTGTGAAATTAAGCCAACTGCACAGGATGTCAACTTTTCCTGGAAAAGTTTTCTCAGGAATCTTACCACTGGATGTTATCCCTTTGGTACTGATTCCTTCGATTTTTGCCTTTCTTTTTTGCAGCTTTGTTATTGACAAAAAAATCGACATTATTACAGGGACCATTTTTAGAATTTGACCACAATATGCATGAGGTTTTCTGGAAATTTGTTGATGGATGAAATAGTTACTAGTTGATTGGATTGTTACACCCTGTGTTGTCCTTGTGATTAACGTTTAGAAGATTCTGAGCTCAACTTTGCTCGATGGTGATCGAAAGAAGCTAATGACTTTAAGTTCCGTTAATGGTGAAGGAAAGAACATGTTCTTATTGATGCTGCAATTCAACCACCTTTCTTCTTCTTTTGTGTGTGAATTTGTTGATTGATACATACATACACATATATATTATGTATATTTAAGAATACTTAATGCCATTGCACAGGTATGTAGCTGTTGGCAATGAGCCGTTTCTCACGACCTACAATGGCTCCTTCATAAACATCACATTTCCTGCACTTCAAAACATTCAGAATGCACTTAACGAAGCCGGGGTAGGAGACTCGATAAAGGCTACCGTGCCTTCGAATGCTGATGTCTACAACTCACCAGAAAACAACCCTGTTCCGTCTGCAGGGCGGTTCCGGCCTGATATCATTGGTCTTATGACACAGATTGTCGAATTTCTGGCCAGGAATGGTGCACCTTTCACCATAAACATCTACCCTTTCCTCAGTCTGTATGGAAATGATGAGTTCCCCTTCAACTATGCTTTCTTTGATGGTGTAAACCCGATTGTCGATAACGGGATTCAGTACACTAACGTTTTCGATGCCAACTTTGACACGTTGGTTTCATCTTTGAGAGCTATAGGTCATGGGGACATGTCCATTATCGTTGGGGAAGTTGGCTGGCCCACGGACGGGGACAAGAACGCGAATATAGCTAATGCTCAGAGATTTTACAACGGGCTGATGCCTAGACTTGCAGGCAACACCGGAACTCCCCTGCGGCCGGGATATTTAGAAGTATACTTATTCGGCCTTCTAGATGAAGACATAAAGAGCATCGCTCCGGGAAACTTTGAGCGTCATTGGGGAATCTATAGGTACGACGGGCAGCCTAAATTCCCGCTCGATCTTTCCGGCCAGAATCAAAACCGGTACCTCATCGGTGCTCAGAGCGTCGAATATCTTCCCCAGAAATGGTGTGTGTTCAATCCAAATGCAAACGACCTGAGCAAGCTTGCAGACAACATAAACTACGCCTGCACCTTCTCGGATTGCACGGCGCTCGGGTACGGATCATCTTGTAACATCCTCGATGCGAACGGGAACGCATCGTACGCGTTTAACATGTACTACCAGGTCCAAAACCAGAATGACATGGCCTGCAATTTTCAAGATCTAGCCACGGTTACAACACAGAATCCTTCACAGGGGGCTTGCAGTTTTATCATTCAAATTGCTTCCTCTTCTTCTTCTGTTGGTCCCTCACTGATGAAGATGGCAGTTTTTGCTGTATTAACATTTGTATTACTATGAACTCGAATTCTGTAGATAATTAGGATTTACTTTTATTTTTTTGCTCTTATATTATTTTTTGTTAGCTTTTTTTTTTATGTTACAGATTATGGGTTATATATTTTTATCATTGATTTTAGTAATAAATTCATAGGCTTATCTATTCTCATTTCTCAACTATTAAAAGTTACAAAATGTTCACCTGATTATTCATATGTTTCGAACTTATCTTTTTTCTGTTAAAAATTAACGATTGTCTGAGTTGAACATTAACATGTTGATTGGAATATGATAAAATCATATTTTAATCATGTCTATTACCATTTTCGTTGCTATCAACACTGGTTCGACATCATAGTGTAAACGGAGAGTCAATCCATAAAATATAGCTATAACAATTTTGAGATCAAATTTTATCATATCTCAGTCAACATGTTAATTTCCAACTCAAACCACTGCCATTTTTTTACTAGAAAATGATGAGTTTGAAACAAATGAATAGTTGAGTGACCCTTTTGTAACTTTAATAGTTGCGAGACTCAACAGAGCATCGTCATGTACTCAAGAACTCTCTTGTAACTTTTAATAAAAACGACTCAACAAAATATCACCCTATAATCGGGAGATCATATGTGTACTCTACCAAAAACAAATTATAGTTGGGTTGAGTTATTATTTAATAATAAAAATATGAAAATTTAATTATGAAATAATATAATTTTATTAAATTATTTAGACTTAAATATTAAATAAATTCAATATAGGACTCAAATTCAGTTGTGTTTTATCTCAATTGAATTATCAAGATGAGCACACAAACATTAACAATAAGTGCCTATGAGAGGTCCATCTCACAATCATAAAGCCTCAAAATTCCCCACCAACACAACAAAGACACTCTCAATTGGAAAGTAATACTCTTTGATACCTACAATTTTTTTATATAAATATAAGGTAAATATAAAATGATATCTGATCAAATACATTCATTTATTTGATAATGAATACTCACATTCTTGACATTTGCAGTTATCGTACTCGAAACTTCAAAAATAACAACGAATCCCTCAACCATACACTTCTCTCATGGACTATGTGTGGGAATCAATATCACTCGGCATATCAATAATGAATTTGTTTAATAAAATGAAATTAATGTCATATTTTTTTATTAAAATTAATAATTCAAATTTTAATATTATGAATAGAACAAATAAGATAGAGAAGATAATCCTATAATATATCCTATAATGTTTAATCTGAATTAATCTATCAATGAATTAGATATAAGAGATAATATCTAAAAATATATATCATTGACCATTTAAATGTTCTTGTTAAAGGAATTGTTGAGAGTATTTGAGAGTTAAAGGAATTGTTGTTACTAATAGAGGTTTTAGGTTCAAGCACCAGAGTATTTGAACGTTCATTATCAAATGATTGAGAGTTATTAAAATAATACTAGCACTTGTGAATACCTTAGATTAACAAAAAAAAATGCTTTTATAGATAATCACATTTCTATTATTATATCATTTTTGTTTTAGTTTTCATTTATTGGGTAATTATAAGTTCTCAATTACTTTTTAAGGTAAACAATTAGCTAAATTTTTTAAATAATGTAGTAGAAAAAAATAGCCTGAATAATGTTGGAATAGATTTATTTACTTGAATAGGGTGAAATCTACCGTGAAGTGGGAGTTACACGGTGGTCATAGCGTCAAGGGTCGGTGTCTCATGGTAATCCATGCGCTTTCCCCCTCTGCATACAACGTGAGCCTACATGCATGCAGTCTGCCCGTGATGAACCGCCTGCAAGCTTTCTCCCGCCCATGATCCCTGCATGCAGTCTACCCAGCAGCAATAATAACTGCATTATGGTAGCAATAATGGCTGCATTTTTGCAACAATAATAGCAGCATTATTGCGGCAATAATTGAACCCAAAAAACTTTGCCTATATGTGGTTTATGGAGGCTAACCGGGAAGATTAAAGATAGAAGAAAAGAATAGGAGATTAGCCGGGGAATTCAAAGCCTAATACAAGAATTTCAGGGAGAAAAATAGGAAGAAAGAAGAAGTAATATCAGGTAGTAATTGTATTTTATTTATTTATTTAGTTAGTTAGTTTCTTAAATTATTTTTTTATGATTAAAAAACATTTTTTTGTAGATCGGTTAAAATCGAAGAACAAAATGAACTGTTTCATCTTGACGCTCAACATATTTCTAGCCATTTGGAATTGATGTTATTCCTATATTTAATTTAATAAAATATTATATTTTATTTGATAACACAATTGTTATTATTAAATGGTGAAAGTTGGTTTTATTATCAATTGCTTAATTTCATGATTTAATTAATTGTAGGAAGACCCACAATGAGTCCTCCGTCACCGAATCAATATTCCCAAGAAATCACATGAGTTGATTGAAAATAACTTGAAACAGACTGGATTTTACCATGTTAATTTTGTTCCAGAATTCAAGTTGGTATCGATTTGATCAATGCATTGATTGAACGTTGGAGACCAGAGACATACGTTTCATTTTGTGTGTGGAGATTATACGATAACTTGGAAGACGTGGCCATGCAACTTGGGTCCCAACAAATGGGATGCCGATAGTGCATGATAATAATTACTCGATGGATTTCGCTTGCAATAGGTTACTTGGGAAGACGACAGTAAAATATATTTAAACGGCCGACGTTTGAGGCTATCATGGTTGCCTAGTCAATTTCTGCTCAATGAGCATAGTACTGAGCAAGAAGTTTCATGTGCAACTCGAGCATATATATTAGAGTTGATTGAGGTAGTTTTGATGTCGGATAAATTCGGTAATTTAGTTCACACTCAATATCTCTCGTTTTTTAGCAATTTTGAGAATCCTCGTCCATATAGTTGGGGATCGACAATATTGGAGTTATTGTATCTTTAGATGTGTAAGGCGTCAGTAATCGTGAATGATATTGTTATAATGAAAATCGATGGATGTCTGATGTTACTACAATCATGGGCTTGGCACGGACTTTCATCTCCACGAACTCCAAACATATATCGTTCTTCCGGCAAACAACATTGATCGGCCTGTCCGGAACGACAACGATAGTTCAAATCATTAGACAGGTATCAAGTAAAGGAGAACTCATGTTGCAGATTGAACACAAGGGAAATTGCTGTCAGATAATTTACCTATACAATCACCTATAGTGAAAACCGGACCATGCAATATATAAGTATGGAGTGGTAAAATGCTACATACATGTTAACAAATACCCTTCTCGAATCAAGCTAAAATAACAAAAGAAAGCATCCAATTCAAACAAGAAAAAATGGGTAAATGAAAAATGTTTTCTTTTACCTGTAAGAGATATCGAGAACAAGACCTATAAAACAAGCCAAGTCATCAACTACAAGCTCGCTATCATAATCCTTATCATCATAAATCCCTTCATCACTAACATCAAGACTTGCCTTTGCATTAAAGGTGTTGCCTTTCTTCAAGGAGGAGAAGAAAAGTGGTGTTTTCTAGTAGTAGAACCAAGAAACCTGAACATACCCTTTTGAAAATGAAGTGATCTAAGCCCACCGGAACCAACAAAAAGGCAAATTTGACCCAATACTGTTGGTGGGCTAATTATTTAACCCAATACCGACAAAACAAATTAGTTTGGGATTTATGATATTTGGTATAATGACTTAAAACTCGTCATATTGATTTGATGAATTTTAATAAAATTTATCTTTCATTTAAATATTTCTTCTTGATGTGATAAATTCTAATAAAAAATTATATTTTATTAGAATTCGTCACGTCAACCTACCGTAAACCCCAAATTAATTTTAGAGATGCCTAACAAGCCAATTTTTTATCAGCTTGCCCTATTGCACCCCACCAAAAACATGGCTAACGAGCTTGTTATGAAAAGGGTCTTTTGGTTCCACTCCACCGTGAAAGAGCAGCTTCAAACGTCCTTGAGCAGTGAATTGAGCCATGAACTGGACCAAGAAACCGGTTTAGCTTTCGAACTAGTTCAACTTAAGGGTCTGTATTAACTTTAGCGTTGCACTTAGCAAAATTTAGTTTTTATTTCATTTAATATTTCACCATTAAAAATTCAAAAAATAACGTTAAATTTTGATATTAAAACAGACCAAAATTAATATTTTAGATTAAACGTGATAAATTTTTACAATGGATACTAAACTGAAATGAAAACTAAACGTCAAGTATAATTTAAAAAAATGAAAGTTTAAATAGTAAAACGGACCAAAACTAATAGTTTATGTACTAAATACATAATTTACCCTATCTTCTTTACATAATTCATGACCATGACCCTTTTTTAATTAAAGACAATAACTTTTTGACCCTTGAACTTCATCACTTGATGCATTTTAATCCTTTCACTTAATTTGAAATTCCCATCCCAAACCTTTTGATGACAAAATATTCCCAACTTTAACATTTTAATCTCAACATCTCATTGATACAAAAAGATCCTCTTATTAATCAACGATTAAATAATCACTTTTAACTTTCTTGCAAGAATTTATTCCCAACGTCTAATTGAGACAAAAAAGTCATTAATCAACAAACGATCAAAATAAAAGCCTTTGCCTTAAAATAGAACATTGTAGAGAAAATACTAAAAAAGAAACTGAAATCACCATATAGTAAATGAAAACATTATAAGCCCAAATGCTTTGGTGGGGGGTGGGGAACACGTCGAGAAGAAAAGTTTAAATAAAAGATATATTTTATTAGAAGCCGATCTAATTTATCACATCGAGAAGAAAACTTTTCTTACCCAAATTCTAGGGATTTTCTAGCTGATCTAATTTCATATTTACAGCATTTTCTAGCATCAATTTACAAACCTTTACAAGCCATTACTAAATCAGTTCCATCAATAAAAAGCACAATTAAGGGTTAGTTTTAATGAAGTTACCATTACACTTTTAATTGGAAGCAAAATGTCCACATATAACACTCAAGTTATTTCCCCCCCCCCTTTTTCAGTTTTTTTCCCTTACTAAATTACTAATTACATGCAGGATATTACCTAGCATTTAAGCACCATACTTACTTTTGGGGGGGGAAGAAAACCCGATATGAAAACCACATCCGAAAGAGCTGGTGCCGATCCAACGGACCAGATTCCCGAAACTTGCAAATCCCTGTTCATTATATATTCATAATTGAAATCGAACTCCTGAAAACCAGGGAATAGGAAAACCTAGTATCCACAACCGAGTTGGTGAAGGCTGTAACTCTGAAAAGACATGTCCCATTCAAAGGTTTATTATTTGCCACCAAACTTAAAGATCAGACAGAGGCGAGGTCCGCAACATTCTTCTGAGACGAACGGAAAAACAATAAGATTCAATCACCTCAAAGGGAGGAGAGAGGATGTAGTATCTTACCATTGTTGGTTTTTCCGGAACTCTGTAAGGACAGGATATATGTTCTCAAAGGCTGTGTATGTCTCATCTCTAACCTGAGACTCAAACAAAGAAAATTAGTGAACTCAATCATAAACAGCATGCATGAAGGTTGAACACAGGCCTGAGGTATCACCTTAGCTCCAGTGATCACAATCTTCCCTGACACAAAAATAAGAAGCACAATCTTTGGTTGTTTCATACGATAGATCAGGCCCGGAAAGAGTTCTGGTTCATACTGCATTAAAAGAAAAGGCTATTTTACTAGACAAATGATACACCACTTTCAACAAATATAAGGGTAAGAAGACTCCAAGGGGCTCGTATATAAATGAACATACACATGGATAAATGCATACAGTCTTGTACTCATATCTCGGACTCCCACATGTTCACTTATAAAACATGCATATCAATGTTCTCATACACAAGGAAACAGACCCAATAAAAAGCACGTCACTTACACTTGAAAAGGCACCATGGGAGTATGCAAGACCTTCAAGTCTGATAGGAAATTTAACATCACAAGAACCAACAATGTTCTGAATCTTGAAGTCCTGCCAATCACAGCAGAATAAGGTAAATGACTAACCAAGTAGGGGAAACCACTATTGAAGGATGAGATTTCAGTCAATACATGAGATTTTATGAGCATTGTTTGCATGGGAGAAATATAAAAGAAATCAAGCATTACGGTACCTTAAACTTAGCAGGAAAACCAAGCTTTTGGATAATTCTGGCATACTGAAAAGCAAAAAATATTCTCAGTTAATCACTGGTTTCATCATTGTATCTTCCTGTTCTAATGATAAGAATAACTAACACAACATAGTTAAAAAAAAAGCATGTCAAAGATAAGTATCTACCTTCCTTGCAGCCAGTTTAGATTGCTGTTCGCTTTTTGCACCAGTGCAGACCTGAAGCGGCAAGGAAAGTTTTTTAGTAAATCAATAATTGAATAATGTTAACACACTAGCACTATTTATTTACTAAACAATTTTGACGCTAAAACTTCCATTTTTCCACGCAGCCAAATAGCTGCATATGATTGTGATTTTCAATAAGAAATGAATTACCATCTTTCCAGAGGCAAAAATCAAAGCTGTAGTTTTGGGCTCCCTGATTCTCATAATGACTGCAGCAAAACGCTGTAGGTTTTTTTTTAAAGAAAAGGTTAGCGACCAAATAACAGCAGCAGAATCAGAGCTGCACAAACTATAATAAATAATAACAAGAACCATCAGTAAGTAGTATACCTTCGGATTATACTCGGCGTTTCGAGCTTGCAGTGCAATCTGCTTAAGATCCAACTTGCAATCTAAGTTTACAGTTGATACAATGTTTCTAGAAACACAATAAGAGTAAACTGGCAAGTGAATTAAGCTTATTAATGATAATTTATATAATTTAATTATATTACACACCATCTATATCTAAGAAACTCTATTCGCATAACGAAACACAAAACAGTATCATCCAAAGACATCTAAAAAGCCTTCCACTATTATGATACAAAATCACAATCAATTGTCTTTTAAATTTCCATTAAAGCCTACTCAACCAACATAAAAACATAACTCATTTCTCTAATCTACTTTTCAACATTCACAAACAAAATCACAAGCTAACATATCATATCCCTAAAATCCCCATTGTTCCCGCAACATAATCAAAACTCATTTCACAAACTTCTCGTCATCAGCAAAACATAAAGTGCGAATATATGCGTGGGAGATCGTACAGGCCATTCTATCTTCAGCTGGTTCTTAAAAGGTAGGGGTCAGTACAGACCCCTTTCTAAAAAGCACCAGCTGGAGTTGAAGAAAGTTGCTACAGCTTAGGTGAAATGCTCAGCATGTCATCAAGCAGGTGAATGGTGCTATGGTGAGGCCTTTCCAAGGGGACATGCATGATGTGGCAGTCAATTACCCGTGATTTAATACACAATTACCAAAAGACGATACCGATCCACAAACTCTATTCAGCCAAGAGATCATTCAACTTATAAAACCGCCGAGACTCTAACACCCATATCCCCAAAACACCTTTCTTTTTCTCCTGAAAGTCCCATCTCCAATAACACCTAATCTTCTAAAGATCTCCCCATCTATAACCTTATATAAAAGTGTCAGAGTCGAAGAGGACGAGAGAGGCAAAATAGAGACTTACTGAAGAGTAGGAACAATGCCAGATGGATGCTTAGAAAGATCCACTGGTTGGCTCCCTTCCAAGCCACCTTGTTCCGCCATTCTCTTCTTCGTTGTTCACCCAAAAATTCCGAAAGAAAATCCCCAATATTTCCCAGAAAAAAGTCTGGGTTTTCTTAAAACACACAATTCCAGAACAACCCAACCGAATTCGCCAAATCTAATAAACCCGTTGACCCAAAAATTAGGTTTTCTTTTTAAAATGTTAAAATATAAACAAATTTAATAAAATTCAACCCGTTAAAAGACACGTAGTCTACAATTTTGTAGGGAATGAAGAAAAAACACAACACAGAAACAGATCAGATCGGGTTCATTCAAATCCAAGCAAATTCACCAGTTTTTCAATGGAAATAGATTGGGGATTTTAAACGATTGTGTATAAATATATGAAAATCGGAGGGAAAATTGATGGTAAAAGTTTGAAAACGAGAGCCTTATATATATATATATAGAGAAGATTTTGGTTTAAGATAAAAGAGAGATAAAGGAATGGATTTGAGAGGACATGGATTTGATAATGAGATTTCTGAGGGTTTGGTTTATAAGAAAGGGGGAGAGGCTGTGTTTCTATCGGGTCGTCCTTTTGTACCCTACTCTTCCTATTTATAGACCTTGACTCTATTGCCCGGTTAAGAAACGTCTGATACCGGTTTTTACCGGTTAGCTAATGTAGTTTATTAAAATAAGGGTTAACTACATGAAAATCACTTATGTTTATATTTTATCCACTTTTGGTCACTGATTTCAAAAAACATAATACATAATCACTTTCGTTTTTATTTAATTAAGATGTGGTCACTTTTGTTTTTATTTAATTAACACGTGGTCACCCCGAGTTAACTGTCGTTAATAACAGTTAAATATTTTGATATAATCACATATTTGGTCACTATTATTTACATATTCTCTCAATTTAGTCATACTTTTAATAAATTTAATCCTCCAATCGAATGATGTCACATGTCATGCCACATAGGGGTGAGCTTTCAATCGAGTCGAGTCGAGTCAAATTTTCAAGTTTCTGTTTAAATTTAATTATAAATATTTATAATATTATGATATTATTTGATTCCAATTTAAATGGTTTATTATAACCATATACAATACATGTGTATTTCTTCATATTTTTTTCATATGTGATATACATTTATAGAGAGGTCAAGAAAATGCACTGAGTTTGTGCACGGAGAAAGTTTTGTTGGCACGACAAGCTTATGATTTAGTGAGTTTCTATTGTTTGTTTTTTTAGTATTTTTTAATTGAGATTGCATTATTGACTATGTCTTTACTGAGGTTCCTTGTGTATAACTTCAAACCCCATTCTTATTATCCTGAAGAAAAGTTCTCTACCCTGTAAAATGAACCGATGAATAAGCGAAACTTCAAAGATATACATGTATATGTATATGTATATGTATATGTATATGTATATGTATATGTATATGTATATGTATATGTATATGTATATGTATATGTATATGTATATGTATATGTATATGTATATGTATATGTATATGTATATGTATATGTATATGTATATGTATATGTATATGTATATGTATATGTATATGTATATGTATATGTATATGTATATGTATATGTATATGTATATGTATATGTATATGTATATGTATATGTATATGTATATGTATATGTATATGTATATGTATATGTATATGTATATGTATATGTATATGTATATGGTTGGAATAGGACAAGAAAGGGTTTATTTTACCTGATCAAGAGTTTCATAGTTTGAAGGTGGTGTCTCGAAATATGGCTTCTGCCTCTCTGGTGGTGGAGCAGCATAGGCTCTACTGAGCTTGTCATTCAGTATGGTGATCGGCACATCTTGTTTGGTCCAAACACCTGCTTTATCTTCATTATCGGAACCGAACCATCCCGAAGACTTGGTTTTCATTGCTTTGGATGGGGATAAGAGCTCGAACGGCGAAGACAAAGTGCAGTAAGAGCAGCCTCGGAGTCCGTTAATGGCTGTGCGACTTCTTTTCTTGAAGCTCAAATGGCTAAGTATGGCACTGGTTAAACTCGCATCTTTGCGGCCATTGTTCTTTACAATGACTGCTGTTGCTATGCTTAATGGATGGAGAGAGACAACATAACTGATATCTAGAGTCCCAGCAGTACAGCTCAACTCAACCTGTTCATACATTATACGAACACAAACCGATCATGAACGGTCTTAAATATAAACTATTAATCACAAACAAATCCAGGTTCATTCAAACTCGGCTTTGTTTACAGCTCTAAACAAAATCCCATAAAACTACATGAACTCGGACAAGTATGTGTCTGCAAGTGAGAAAATACCTGAAGAGCATCAATGGCGTCATTATCAGCATCCTTTACATCCCACTCATAACCAGATAGAAGCGACCCTTTCGAACTTTTTTTCGGTTGCATCATTGATAAACAAACCAATCCCTCCTTTGGACTTGGTAGGGTCTGTTCCACCAGCAGGGACTGTGTTAAGAATATCCTCGAAGCCGTCATCGTTCCAGTATACTTTAGGCTTGTAAAAAGTGACATGGGCATCAGGGATTCTTAGTAATGGAAATTGTTGTGCTCCGAGAATTTGATGCCTTTGCGGCTGAATTTTTCGTCGAGAGCCTCTGGAGAGGAAAGGGTAGTTGAAGTAGGAGTCGCAAGAGGAGAAGTAGCTTTAATTATGTTTGGTTTTGGAAGAGAGAAACAAAGAAGGGAAGCCATTGTTGGTAGGAAGAAACTCTGTTGGCTTCCACACAGTGGACTAACTAAGCTGGTAGGCTCATCCTTTAGCTATTGTTTTGTTTGGACATGCTTTTTTGGCCATCCATTTTCACATATTTGCACTATTGATTTAGCGATATTATATAATTTATTTTAACTCGATTAATATTTTTATACCAAGTTTTCATGATAAGTTTCGGCTTGAAAACTGCTCAGTTTTTTACCCAACAGTTAAAAAAGGATGGATAGAAAGTTTGCATTCATTATTTCAGTTTTTAGCCTTTTCGTATGTTTCTTTCAATTGGTGGGTATGAAACATTTAGAAGTAAAAGATGAAAACAAGAACTTGGATCTAACAAAAGGTTAATAGCCAAAGGTGACAGCATTCACCAAATTTACTGATGGGAAAATTACAGAATTGATAAACACAACACAAAACCTTATAACATTTTCAAAATAAAATCAAAACTTGGTTTCAAAGTGTTTAAAGCATCTCAAAGATGCCTTACAAAATCCCAAACCAAACACAGTGAGATACGAGAGAAAGGTAATCGACATATGATGCTGCAGGAGAGACTTTGCTTAGTCCTCATCCATTCCTGCGGGCTGCTCTCTCCTTCCTGGACCTCCAGCTGGTTTAGCCATTATAATCTACAAAATTGAAGGCATGGCATAAGTATGCTTGGTGAACAGAAACAGTCGAAACCAATATATATTTTCAAGCCCTGTTTTGAGTTAATTACCTGATCTACCCGTAGAACGGTGCAGGCAGCATCAGCTGCGAATTTGAGAGCGAAAAACCTGTCGAAAGAAGAAAGAAACACAAGAAAAGAAGAGAGTTCGTACTGTTGGTGTGCGTCCGTATGAGAAAGTACTTATGAGTCGGATTGACAAAGATCAAAATGCGACTTACTTGGTGACATAAAGATCCCAAATATTGAGGGTTGACACATCCTTGCAAAAACCATCCTCGGAATCACCTCCCTCCAAGTCGATGCCCACTTTGGCATTTCCAGATGCATGCTTTTCATACAGCTTAGATATGATATCCATTGGATTGAGTCCAGCATTCTCTGCGAGGGTTCTTGGTACCATTTCAAAACTTTCGGCAAACTTAGCAATGGCATATTGATCCAATCTGCAAAATATCCATTTACCCAATTAGCCAGTAGTCCAAAATCTACTGTATATTCCAAAATTTATATATATATATATGTATAATAAATGCGATACAAAAGTTTGAAAACGATGCTTCGATTCCCAAAAATCCAGCTCAGCCCATGTATAACATCAAAAAGTGTTACTAGTCCAAAAACATGGTGGCTATGCAGGTAAAATGCCATCATGACTCGATCATGCCATTCATGCAATTCAAGAGCAGCACATAATTGCAGGATGATACTTTATAGTAAAGAAGTAAAAGCAGAAAAAAAAAATAGATCACCCTGTTTCCTTAAAGGAGAATTCTTTCAATCTTCTAGCCAACTCAATTTCAGTAGCTGCAGCTCCAGGAACCATCCGACTGTCCCTGCACATTGCCTAACAAAAAATACGGCATTAAGAAAGTGACAATGATACTTCCCTTGAAATTTACATCCAAAAATAAACAAAAAAATGTCTCAAAAGGTAAGAAATACAGAACTCAATAAAGTTTACAGAGGAGAAACACAACAATACTCGGAAGAATACTAAGAAACAAAGTAAATATTTGGCAACTATCACCTTATATGTATTCACCCCATCATCAACAGCTCTTTCAAGATCATCCAATATACTATCAGTACTTCCTCGTAGAAGCACAGTGGCAATCTTGTTACCACCTTCTTCACTTCTCACAACAGTGACCTACACTCAATAGATAATACAAAACAAACTGAATAAAAGACAAGAAACCAAATACGAGTAAAAGAAAACTCATAAAACATACCCGAGAACCACCGATTTCCTCAACTGAAATTGAATCAATAAATCCCAAATCATCAGCCTTCAGTTGGCTGAGTTTCAACTGTCAAAAGAATTAAAAGCTCATCAGATTGCAAACGAAAGACATTATCTTTTTTTTTCCTTTTACTATAATCTAGATAGAATGCTCACAAGAGCGGAAGTTCCTGTTGTGCGACAAAAACGCCTCAGTTCAAATTTCGAGCTGATTTTCAAGACCATTAACCTGCAAGAAAAGGATCCAAACTAGACATGTAAACAAGGATGCAAAAGCTACAAAAGCAAGATGTTCCAATCTATCAAACACTTGGCATAATTGCATAAGTATCAATCAACTACATAGAACAACCATACATCCAAAATTAACAGAAAAAAGAGAGCAGAATTAAAATATGAAAAGAAAACTTCATATACTTGTAACGTTCACAGAAATGCAATGCCATTTCACCAACTGGTCCTCCACTGACAATAACTTTGGCACCAGAATCAGCAACTGCTTTGATTAGATCCTCAACCCTAGCTTCTTCAGTTTTAGCATAATTCTCTAGCTGAAAGATAAGAAAACCTTCTACATTAGACGTATTTG